TGGCCTATTTTCTTGAGTTTTTGCTAGATACTATGCAGATACGGTATCACCGCCATCCTCTTGGGAGTTGCTTCTTGTAAAGCGTCCCCATCGTTAGCTACTCTTGACTGTCTGCGCAGCTTTTTACAAACAGAAACTAGCAACGAACCGGGATAGCCCGCTGCCTTTAGACGGAGAATTTGCCAGTAGAAACTTCGCTGCACTGAGTGGAAGCAAGATTCTGTTAAAGCGTTATGTATGCATGTTTGCGTTATGTATACATGTATACATGCTTTACCAGTTTGCTGTGAGAAGACGCGTACGTAGGTTTTTAAATTTAATACTAATGTTCTCAGCTGGACACGTTTGTTGGACGTATAAGCCATGGGGGGGGGGGGGGGGGGGAACCTCTTTTGCCGAACGCATCAAAAAGAGAGCACACCCTCCGGATGTGCTCTCTTTTTGCGTATCTGTTTAGGTTTGTTGTAGAGTATGTTCATGCTAGCGATGATGGCCCTCTTGTGTGATTTTGGGGGGAGGGGGGTTGCTAAGAAATGGCTCATCATTTGCATATATGCTCTGAATAGCGTAACTGAGTAGTTATTCTTTTTTGCAAGTGTTGAACTCTATTTAAAATGCAAAAAAATGAGATCATTCTGAGGGATTTTAGTTGCGTGTGCTTCAGAGAAGACAGGAGCAAGGGGCTGTTCACTCGTGCATGATCAAAGTGCTTGTTTTTTGCTTTCAGAACTTGCGCAAGAGAGTGGTTTGGAAGATAGAGGAAATGAATTGCAAACTGAAAGTGCCACTAGGTATACATACTTTCAGCGCGATTGCCACTCCCTCTTAGACAGCTAGACCTTATAAAAAATGTACAGCCTGCAGCATATTAAATATTATCGCGCGAGCGACGACCGCAGGCAGTACCAGCGCCTTACAACGGCAATAATCTGCGAGACCGGCAACAGTACGCGCAGGCGCACAAAGGAGCGCTAGCGCAAGTGTCGTCTGCCACGCTGTTACTTTCAGGACGATGCACGCCCTACCGTAATGCCCGTATTAGTCTCCTTAGAAAAAAAAAGGAAAACAAAAGCGGTGCGAAGAAAGCCATGCACGCAGCTTAAATCATGAGCTACCGATTCATGTTCTCTTGATCTTTCCTGTGATTACAGTCAAAGAAACTGCTCAAGGTTGATGCGCAGAAAAATTTGAATAAAAAGGTAATAAAAAAGTAATAAACTACAAAATACATTACTTTACCACACGGTCGTTCTCGCCCCGCCACGGTAGTCTAGTGGCTAAGGTACTCGGCTGCTGACATGCAGGTCGAGGGACCGAATCCCGGCTGCGGCGGCTGCATTTCCGATGGAGGTGGAAATGTTGTAGGCCTGTGTGCTCAGATTTGGCTGCACGTTAAAGAACCCCAGCTGGTCGAAATTTCCGGAGCCCTCCTCTACGGCGTCTCTCATAATCATGTGGTGGCTTTGGGACGTTAAACCACACAAATCAATCAATCACGGTCTTTCTCAGTTTATTACACCTAAAGAAGGTGCTAGTATTGACGCCTGCTGTTCAATGTGAACGGATGCTGTTCAACGCGAACGTGGAAATAAAGAAAGCAAAACATTCGTGACCTTTCTATCTGCTACTTCGCGCACTGAGAAAGGGAGTGTTTAATACTGAAAGGAGCAGCCTGGCAGACGACGCTTGCGCTAGCGCAGCTTCGTGCGTGTGCACCTACTGCTGCCAGTCGCGCAGATTATCGCCGTTGTAAGGCGCTGATACTGCGTGCGGTCGACGGTCGCGATATATTACAGCGAAAGCTGTTATGACATCACGATTGATTGATATGTGGGGTTTAACGTCCCAAAACCACCATATGATTATGAGAGACGCCGTAGTGGAGGGCTCCGGAAATTTCGACCACCTGGGGTTCTTTAACGTGTGTTATGACATCACAATTCAGGTCACACGCAGTTGTCCGCCGCCGCCGCCACCGCCTGTGTCCGTAACCACATCGCGCGAAATTAGAAAAAAAAAACCTAGCACAAGAGTCACAGTGGGGCTTGAAACCCGGGTCCGCTGGGTGATAGCCCAGTATTCTACCACTGAGCTACGCTGGTGCTCGTGACTTGTTGGCAGACATGCCTTAGGCAGGCTTGATGTCGGGAAAGCAATAGCGGTAATACGACTTATAAAGCATTTTAAAACAGCGAAAAAACAACCAGTCGTTGCACAATGCGAATAGCTTAACGAGTGGGCCATCCAATGCTCCAACCCATTACAAAAGCTTGTTCTTGTTTCGCTAATAACGGTGGCACATACACACTTCAGCCATAATTCGTCATCGTCGTCAGTAACTGCAGGAACAATTGGCACGAAATTACTTGCAACTTTTTTTGGATATTAAGCTTCTGAGAAGAATGTCGAAAAATACATAGCAAATGCCAGCCTATACTACCCAAAAGTTTATTAATAATGCCCTAGTGGGTATCAAGCAAGTGTGCTTGCAGTAGTTACCGAGTGAGTGTTTCGAAAAGGCTCTGAAAGACAACTCTTCTAGCTTTCGCTGTGACTGGGCTGCGCCTTCCGCGCAGGCCTGGCTCTTCTTTTATTAAAATTGCTGGAGGCTGTGCTCGTAACAATATGCAATAGTTACGAGCTTAAACTTGTAGCTTTCAGTGACCACAGTGCCATTATCTTATTTTTTTCTCTCTGGGAGGGAACAAGAAAAGACCAGCATTTTCGTGGAAAATGTGGAAGCTGTACAAGTTACTTAGCGAAGAAGTGCTTGTGAATTTAGTAAAAATACTTCTTGAAAAAGCGCGCTTATCCCCCACCGCAGTAGTCTATAGTGGCTAAGGTACTCGGCAGCTGACCTGCAGGTCGTGGTAATGAATCCCGGCTGCGGCGGCTGCATTTTCGATGGAGGCGAAAATGCTGTAGGCCCGCGGGCTCATATTTTGGCACACGTTAAAGAACTCCAGGTTGTTGAAATTTGTGGAGCCCTTCACTACAGCGTCTCTCATAATCATATGGTGGTTTTGGGACATTAAACCCCACATATCAATCGAAAACCGCACTCATCCGAGGCGGGGCGAATCGTCGCAGCATGTGAACAGTTTAAGGAAGAAGTTAAACCTGCTGCCATTCAAAGATCTTGCATGTTGCGCTAATATGAAAAAGACAGCAAAAATGACTTACAGTGCCAAGTGGAATTCTTGCTGTCACTTGAAAGCAGGCGGCCATGCACTTCAACGGAAAAGATAATAGATGCGGATAACCTTCTCGAGATGATTGACACCAAAAAATACAGGGGAGCAGCCATACGTGCACGCGCAGAACACCTTTGACAAGGGCAAACGCCGACAAAACGCTTTTTGAGCTACCAAGAGCACTACGCCTCGCGTAAAGAAATGAAACATGATAAATTGGAGAAGTGATTGTCGATTTGATTGATGTGTGGGGTTTAACGTCCCAAAACTACCATATGATTAAGAGAGACGCCGTAGTGGAGGGCTCCGGAAATTTCGACCACCTGGGGTTCTTTAACGTGCACCCAAATCTGAGCACACGGGCCAACAACATTTCCGCCTCCATCGGAAATGCAGCTGTCGAAGCCGGGATACGAACCCTGAAGTGATTGTCACGGACAAACTTTATAATAATATGATAAAAGACTGCTGGGGTGCAGCAGTAACAGAGAAGAAGCCTTGGAACGCGAGTTTTTCTTAATAATGCCGATATTTAGATAAGGAGACCGCGGAAAGCCTTAAAGAGCACATTTTAATGCGGAAAATAGAAAGGGCTATTTATGAATTAGGTGAAGCAAAACAACCGGCGTGGGTGGACTATGGATGCAGCCTTTTACGAAGCACTCAAAGATGAGCTGTCAGAGGCCCTGTTACGTCTTGTAGCGTGGGCTTACGAGGTAAAGGAAATGCAGCCGTGCTTTCGAAGGTATACCTATACCCAAATGTGAAGATTCAGTGAAACTTTTGTCAGTAAACGCTTATCGTTCCATAAGCCTAACTAACAGTGATTATAAGGTTTTTATGAAAGGGCTTGTCAAGAGACAGCAAAGTGTTATACAGTCAATTATAGGACCACAGCAAACACGCGAAATCAAGGGCCGAACAATCGAAACCAACATATACACAGCAAGGATCGTCCTTGAGTGTTGCGATGCATGGGGCAGTCATATAGCGATGTTGCTACTAGGCCTGGGAAAGGCTTTTGACTATGTTATGCATGCCGTACTTTTTTTCAATATTCAGCCATGTAAATGTTGGAAGCATTATTCTAGAAGGTGTGAAGATGTCGAATAGTATTTGTTTTGCTAGCATTGTAATAAACATGAAAGTCATTGAGAACTTTTCAAGTTGCGAGAAGTTGCCGACGAGAAGAGGAGGCCGAGAGGTTAAGGTGATTAAATTCTTATCCATTGGGCACTGCCCGCGTGAGTTCGGGACCCAACCTCGTCGAGTCGCATAACTGTTTTTTCGTTCTCCCAGTGATTGCTCTACAACCCTAGTGTGTAAGCTGCATTAATGGCGTGGAAGGCGGACGAGGTGGCCGATAGGTTAAGGCGATGGACTGCTAATCCATTGGGCTCTGCCCGCGTGGGTTCAAATCCCATCCTCGTCGAGTCGCGTAACTTTTTTTGTTCTCGCAGTGATCGGTCTACGACACTAGTAAGTAAGCTGCACGAATGGCGCGGAAGGCGGACGAGGTGGCCGAGAGGTGATTCCACTTCCGGCCGCGATAGCGAGCGGTCGCGTTTGGAATGGGCTCTGTCAGAGCGGTGTCAGCGGCCGTTTCTTGCCGTGGAAACGGTGTTAGCTGCCTCGGATAACGAGTATTGCATTGTTCTGCCTAGTCTGCCTTCAGGACGTCTGGTTTTGAATACTGTTTTCGTGCAATTGGATGTGAGGACACGGCCTTACCGTGTAGAAGACTTCAGGGATACGCCGAGTGATTTGAAACTGCTCTCCGAGGTTACGGCCTTGGGGGCGTATCAAATGAATTACGTTTGGGCCGTCACGTTCAAATGTGCCGAAGGCGCGAAGAAGCTGCTGGAAAAAGCGGAAGTGAAAGTGAAGGGCCAGCGTTGCGTCCTCAACGATCCATTCAACCAGGAGCTTCGTTTGAAGCTGCACTGGCTCTTGCCTACCGTTCCGGACGACGAGGTGCGAGCGGCCTTCCTGAACTATGGCAGAGTGACGGAAATTGTCAGGGAACGATGGAAGGTCAGTGGTGTGGCTGAAAAGGCGTCAACGACACAAAAAGTGCCGCCATATTCACGAAGTGAATGATGATGAGTGGGCGAAGCTCTGGAGGAAAACCTGGTAAACCATGAATCTTCCGTACATTTTGCCTACTCGATTTTATTACAATGCTCCCCCTAGCGTACGTCGCCGCACTAAATCGGACGATTGCCTTCCACCAATGACACGTGCTATATGTGACATCATTCCTATTTTATAACATCTCGCATCTTTCATCATCAACTACAAGTACCGCCGTCTAGTTTATAACATCTTGCATCTTTTCATCATCAGCTACAGGTCCCGCCATCTAGTGAGCACTGAAAGAACTAAACGAGAGGTGGGTACATGCAGGAGACGGTGCCGCCATCTAGTGAATACTGCAAGAACTAAACGAGAGGAGGCGACATACGGGAGACGGTACCGCCATCTAGTGGACACTGCAAGAACTAAACGAAAGGTGGCTACATACAGGGGACGCACAGCCCACGCCTTAAGGAGCTTCGCCCCTAAAATGTGACGATGACACTTAAGGCGGCAGTCAAGCCAGAACATTTGCCCCATCACATAAGGATTGCTGGTGAGTTGGCTCTTGTGGTGGTGCCGGGAAGGGCACCGCTATGCCTTCGTTGCCAGTGCACCGGACACATTCGTATGGACTGTAAGGTACCACGCTGCACGTTGTGTCGTCGCTTTGGACACAAGTCGGAATGCGCGCGTACATACGCCAGTGTTGCAGGACCCGTGTCAAGCGACGACACTTCGGAGCTCCTAATTGATGAAGCAGATTCCGAGGCAGCAGCGAGAGCGGAGACAAAGTGCCACGACGGACAGTGTGCCAGCTGAGCGAATCTTGGGCGACATTGCTCACATAATTTCGACGAACCTCAAAGCCGAAGATACAATGTTGGTGAAAAATGATTCCTCGGAAGCACTGCAGACGCAGGAAGACAAAAGCAACGTGACCGAGGTGGTCAGCAGTGGAGGCAACGGACAATTACAAGGAGTGCACCACGACGAATAAGCGATCACACGAAGGCACCGAGGGAGAGAGTGAATCTACTGACCCAAGTGTCCCGGTGAACCTCCAGCAAAAGCAGCCCCTGTACGTCGGCCGATAGTGCGGCCACGGCCGAACATCCCCCAGCATCGGAGGCCGATAGCGACGACGATGCCGCCGCCACCGCCACCGGTCATGTAGCAGTAAGCTGTGGAAGCCCCGATCTACGTTTCGGGCCCCGGTTCATGTGTCGACAAGAGCATAAGCCTATACTCTGGGTCTCCATTATAAATTATTCCAATGGCACTGCCAGACAAACCCTTGCGGTTTGCTACAATCAATGTTCGAGGGCTTGCGGCGAGGAGAAAACGACAGTTGTATAGACTGGTGATCGAACATAATTTATACATCATTGCCATACAAGAAACCAAAATTGGAAGTGATGATGAGACCAAGAGTATGGTGCTACCTTTCATGTCAATGTGCTACGCGTGTGTGAGTCACGCCATAGGACGATCCGTGGGGTGCGTTCTTTTTGTGCGCCAACACCCGGGCCTTGAAGTGAAGGGTGTGAGGTCAGACTTGGCGGGGCGCATGGTTTTGTGTGATTTTCGTTATGGTTCAGTTGAATGGCGAGTGATATGCCTTTATGCTCCTAATTTTCTCGACGAACGAATACATTTCTTCGAGAGTGTCAGAAATTACTGCAACGTCGAAAGGAACCTGGTACTGATGGGGGCTTCAATTCTGTACAAGCAGCGCGTCATAAATCAAGTGGTACAGCGTATAGAGACGCCAACATGGCTGAGCTTCGCGAAAGAATTGATGAATACGGGCTTGAGGACGTGGCAGAATGCTTAGATTAAGACCGCATTGTGCGTTTCACGCATTTCTAAGGAGCCAGCCACGCCCGACTGGACAGAGTGTACGTTCCGGCTCAATTGATAGCACTTGCGCAAGAATATCGTGTGCAGTCGGTGTCATTTAGTGACCACTGTCTAGTCATGTTTGACGTTAATAACAAAGTGAAAAACCGAATTAAGTTTGCCAGGGAATTGCGGAAACTTAATGCTAAAATTTTGGAGGATGGTGTTTTCTGTGAGAAAGTGTTAGCCCTGCTCGACGAGGTAAAGAACCAGCCAAACACAACAATATGTGAAAGATGGGAAACATTTAAGCAAACAGCTAAATTGAAGGCACTTGAAGAAGCCAGCGCTTTAAAGCACAAAAAGAATAAGTACGACTAAAACCTGCGGCAAAGCTTGCAAATGCTAACATATGAAGAAAGCCTATCGCCTGGGACGTTCAAAGACGACATTTACACGCTGAAGCAAAAACTTAAGCGGACAGATATCGAACGCTATCGGGGGGCGTTGGTGCGAGCTAGAGTAGAAGCAACGATAATAGGCGAGGCGCCAACTAAAAGAGCCCTCGCAAAGGAAAGAAAGTGGGCCTGCAGGAACGAGGTTTACGAAGTTGAACAAGACGGGATTATCTTAAATGAACAGAGTGGCATTGAACACGTGTTCACAACGTTCTACGGAAAGCTGTTCGCGCGTTGCCCGGTGGACGCGGAGGGTTTTGAGACGGAAGTCATGCCTTTAGAGCCAAGGATTGATGATAGCTTAAAGTAAATGTTAGAGCGCCGTATTACGGCCGATGAGATTGCGGTGGCGATAGACGATTTGAAACGTGGGAAATCTCCCGGGCCCGACGGGGTAGGAGCCAATTTTTACAAGGCGTTCAACTACCGAGTTAGCCTCTATACTGGCTGCAATTTCAGACGATGCATATGAGCGCAAATGACTACCACTTTCATTCCTGTCCACGCACACAATTCTTATCCCGGAAACAGAGGATCGCGACACATTAAAGCGGGTAACAGCATATCGCCCTATCAGCTTAGCGAACGTCGACTATAAAATATTCATGAAAGTGTTGGCTAAAAGACTGCAGACAGTGGTGAAGGATATAGTTGGACCACACCAGACGTGCGGTATCAAGGAACGGACCATTTTCACGAACATTCATATGGCGAGAAGCATACTCGAGTGTTGTGACGTATTGTGCAAGAATGTCGCAATTCTCCAGTTGGATCTGGAAAAGACGTTTGACCGGTTACCGCACGACATACTATTTGCCATTCTGGAGTACGTGAACGTAGCGCCTGTTATTATGGAAGGTGTCGCAATGGCGTACAGGGGTTGCACGACAAAACTGATAATAAATAAGTCAGTAGGAGAGCTTATCGAAGTGCAGCGGTCGGTGCGCCAGGGATGCCCACTATCGCCGTTACTTTTCGCTTTATATATCGAGTCTTGTGCCTCAGCGTAATACGGGCTAACTGTATCAATGGCTTTAAAATGCAGCAAGCGGAGGTAAAACTACTCGCTTATGCGGACGACATCGCGGTGTTTTATGGGGACCACGCCAGTATCATGAAAACTGTGGAAATCGTGAAGCGTTATTGTGTTACTAGTGGCAGTGCAGTTAACTGGGGCAAGAGCCTCGGAATCTGGCATGGAGCTTGGACAATGACACCAAGTACCTTTGCCAACATGCAATGAATGTCCACTCCCACGAAATACCTAGGCGCCCCTTTAGAGTTTTGCCGTGACAGTGAACCATACTGGCTGAACCAAGTTGCGGAAATGCGCGCAAAGACTGAGAGGACAAAAGGCTCGGAATTGTCTATGTTTGCACGTACCATGGTGTGTAGTGTGTTTTTCATTACCAAACTGTGGTATGTGTTGAGTGTTTTACACTGCTTACGCATTAACATACAAAAGCTCCACAGAATTCGGGCTGTTTTTGTTTGGGGATAGGTTTGGGAGAGGACGAGCCGCACCAACTTGTTCAGACGTGTACGTGATGGAGGTCTTGGCCTGTCGCACTTATTTCCGAGGCAAATAGTGAACCGGTTCTGCTTCCTTAGGGATGTGAAGGACCATTTTTTGCGCACTGTATTACAGCTCAGACTTAGCAAACTTGTGCCGGACTCTGTGGTATCCACCGAATGTATTGAAGGCTCGGTTTTCGGTTTTTTGAAAGGGGTTTTGATGGCTTATAAGTTCTTGCGTGCTCGATTCTCATGCAAATATCTGGCGGGAGTGAAACGAAGGAAGCCATACAAAGATCTTGTGGAGATACTACTCCCCATGCCTTTGTATCGCACAATATATAGTGCCAATTCTGGAAGTGATGTCCTGAAGCGTGTCAAACATATGTATGTAGCTCCAGGAGCCATGTCCTTTTTCTTCAGATTGCACACCGGGACAGTAGAGGTAAAAACATGGCTACAGGAAAAAGAAATGTATGTACCATGGGGTGTGCACTGTTTCTTATGTAGAAAGCCTGAAACCATTGAGCACGTCTTCTTAGAATGCTGGGAAGGCGTGTTCCTCTGGGATATATTACAAAGAACGCTAAAAAAAGACCTCCCTTTAGACCCACAAGGAATTCGTTTCCTAACTGTGGACAATGAAGAAGGTGTCCCGTTTGACGCTGTCATGCTACTGGGTTCGCACTGCATATGGAAGGCCTGCATGGCCGCACGACATGTCGATATAGATGCAAGATCAGATGTAGATGCAAGATCGGCACACGAGTACTTCCGCGAATCAGTGGGCAGGTTCCTGGAAGCACATAAATCTTTAGATCCGATACCTGAATGGGTATCGAGGATCGAGCCACTCATGAACATGAGACGATTTTAGTCATCAGACGCCAGCCAAAGTTTGGTTGCTCCTTTTATCTATGCCCATTTATGTATCTATGTCGTATGTGCCTTGCATTATTACTTTTGATCCCTGACTGTATTTGTGTTTCTATGTGTACGTCTAAGCAGGCAATAAAAAAAGACGAGGTGGCCGAGTGGTTAAGGCTATGGACTGCTAATCCATTGGACTCTGCCCGCGTGGGTTCAAATCCCATCCTCGTTGAGTCGTGTAACTTTTCTTTTTATTCTCCCAGTGATCGGTCTACGACACTAGTGTGTAAGCTGCACGAATGGCCTGCAAGGCGGACGAGGTGGCCGAGAGGTTGAGGCGATGGACTGCTAATCCATTAGGCTCTGCCCGCGTGGGTTTGAATTCCATCCTCGTCGAGTCGCGTAGGTTTTTTGTTGTCCCAGTGATCGGTCTACGACATTAGCGTGTAAGCTGCACGAATGGCCTGCAAGGCGCGCAAGGTGGCCGAGAGGTCAAGGCGATGGACTGCTATTCCATTGGGCTCTGCCCGCGTGGGTTCGAATCCCATCCTCGTTGAGTCGCATAGCTTTTCTTCTTCTTCTCCAAGTGACCGGTCTACGACACTTGTGTGTAAGCTGCACGAATGGCCTGCAAGGAGGACGAGGTGGCCATGAGGTCAAGCGATGGACTGCTAATCCTTTGGACTCTGTCCGCTTGGGTTCGAATCCCATCCTCGTCGAGTCGCGCAGCCTTTTTTTTGTTCTCCAAGTGATCGGTCTACGACACTTGTGTGTAAGCTGCACGAATGGCCTGCAAGGAGGACGAGGTGGCCATGAGGTTAAGGCGATGGACTGCTAATCCTTTGGGATCTGCCCGCGTGGGTTCGAATCCCATCCTCGTCGAGTCGCGTAACTTTTTTTGTTCTCCCAGCGATCGGTCTACGACACTAGTGTGTAAGCTGCACGAATGGCTTGCAAGGTGGACGAGGTGGCCGACATTCCACTTCCGGCTTTCGAGCGATACGGTCGCGGAATGTTTGGCTCGGACGGAGCGGCTTCAGCGGCCCGAACTGGCCGCGGTAACAGGGTTTTTGCGCCTAGCGCCGACGATTATCAGGTGATTCTGCCCAATCTGCCTTCCGGACTGTCGCTGCGAATACCGTTTTCATGCATGGTGATCCGAGAGCCCTGCCTTACCACGTCGAAAATTACCGGGCCACTTTGGCCAAGCTTGGTGCGCTCGCCGACATTTTGGCGTTGGGGGCGTATCAAATGAACCACTTATGGGCTGTGACACTGGCGAGTGTTGAGGCTGCTCGGAAGTGGCTCTCCACTATCGATGTGAAGGTAAAGGATCGCCCATGTTCTTATTGACCCAAATAACCGCGATGTTCGCTTGAAGCTTCACTGGTTGCTGCACGGCGTGACCGATGAAGACGTGCGTGTTGCCTTCACTCCTTATGGGAAAATATTCGAAGTGAAGCGGGAGAAGTGGAGAGCACCGGGCATCACTGAAAAGGGCTCAACGACGCGGTTTGTGGGACGAAAGCTGCACTCCGACGTCAAGGTGGATCACATTCCGCACCAGCTCAAGATTGCCGGAGAGTTGACTCTCGTTGTCGTTCCGGGCCGTGCACCGTTGTGCCTACGGTGCAAGAGTACCGGTCACATACGTCGCGACTGCCGAGTACCCCGCTGCAGTCGTTGTCGCCGCTTCGGCCACGAAGACGACGACTGCGCGAAGACATATGCGAGCGTGACCGGACCAGCGCAGGAAAGTGACGCACTGGAGCACCTCATGGACGAAGAAGACTCGGAAGAAACAGCAGGAGTTAACCCAGACTCTGCTGTGGAAGATGGGTCGTCATGCTGTCAAGAAGAGGGCGTGTGTGAAGCACTAGGTAAGCCCAACGCCGGGCTTCCATACGAAGGCGTAGGAGAAAGCAGTGAAAAGGTGGATGCAAGCCGCACCGGCGACACGTTTCTTGGCTTAGCAGACGAGACCCCCTCCGAGGCGGAACCGATGAGTGGGATTGAAAGCGACAGTGGCACTGTGACGGGTAAGCGTCCCCGTGACGCAGAGAAAAAATAGAAGGGCACCACTGCTGCCACGCCGGATGAACCACCAGCCAAAACGACTCCCGCTCGGCGGCCTCTCCTTCGGCCATGGCCAAACATTTTGACGGAGCGCAAGACGGCGGAAACGCCGCCTTCGCCACCTTAAGGACTGTACTGGGACAAGGCGTTCAGGAAGGAATTGCAGTTGTAAGGCAAGCGCCATGCCCCTGGGTTTTTCGCAGCCTTACAATGGTGCAAATAGAACATTCAATCCGTGAGGCCACTTTAAATGTGCGTGGCCTGACCTCACGGAGAAAACAATGTCAGCTTTATCGACTAGTAAGTGACCTTGACCTTGACATCCTGGCAGTCCAAGAGACTAAAGTTCATGGAGACGATGAAACTGGGGGCATGGTGCGCCAATTCTTGCCGTGGTATTTGGCTATAGTTAGCTATGCCATAGGGACTTCTTCTGGCTGCGTGTTGTTCGTTAGAGAGAGTCTGGGCGCCAAAAATAGAAGCCTTAACGTCATGTTTGTCTAGTCGGCTCATTGTTTGTGATCTTTTGTTTTCATGTTTGGAATGGCGCGTAATATGTTTGTACGCACTGACAGTCACCGACGAACGACGCATATTTTTCGAACTAAAGCAGTATGCCCAATGTAATGGGCTCCTTATCATTATTGGCGATTTCAACTGCGTCCTTTAAGTCAAAGACAAAACTAGCGAACGACATTACAGGGATGCAAGTACCGCTGTCTTAAGCGATACAGTAAGAGAACATGGTTTGAAGGATGTGGCTGAATGTCTCGGTGGTGGCCGCACTATGCAGTACACCCACTTTCAGGCAGCCAGCCACGCCCGACTAGATAGGGCGTACGTGAGTCTTGAATTGGTACCGCTTTGCAAGGCAAACCGTGTTAACGCCGTTTCATTTAGTGACCACTGCTTGGTTAGCTTTGTAGTAGCTAGCGCGAAAGAAGCGAAAAGGGCCTTTGAGTGGCAACTATGGAAATTGAATTCGAATCTGCTGAGTGATGAAGAATTTATGGAGGAAGTAATTACGGAAGTTGAAGAAATGAAAGTTCGCAGTAAAAAGACGTTTAGAGAAAAATGGCAGAACTTCAAGCAGGTCGTTAAATTGAAGGCTTTGGAGCGCTCGAGCGCTATAAGCTGAGAAAAAGGAGCAGAAGAAAAGCAAATGCGCAGAAACCTGGAAAAATTGCTCCTCGAATAATGTAGAATGCCCGGCATGTTTATTGAAGATATTCGCGCATTGAAATGTAAAATTGAGCAGTTCGATGTCGAAAGATACCGCGGTGCTATGGTTCGGGCAAGAGCCGAGCGACTGATAATGGCAGAGGCACCGTGAAAAAGGGCGTTGGGCTCCGAAAAGTGGCATGTGGGACGTAATCAGATAACAGAAATCTAACACGAGGGTGAAGTCAGCGATGTCGTAGATGTTATCGAATGTGCTTTCTTTGAGCACTTCAATGGTTTATTCGCCGCCAGCTCAGTTGATGTCGATCGCTTTAAAAAAGATTTTTTACCGCTGATGCCAAAGCTTGACAATAATACAAAAGAAATATTGGAGGAACCCATTTCGGAAGAGGAAGTTAACAGTGCTATTGAAAGTATGCATCCCGGGAAATCGCCTGGCCCTGATGGTCTGACTTCCGCCTTTATAAGTGTTTCAAGTTAGAAATAACACCAGTCTTAGCCGACGTTTATAATGAGGTATCGAGCTGAAAATACTACCCCCGTCCTTTTCATGCTCTCACACTGTTCACTGCGCAGAGTAACTTCTTACCGCCCAATCTGCCTCACTAATGGAGATTACAAGATATTCATGAAAATCCCAGCTAAAAGATTGCAAACAGTCATTACGGAGCTAGTGGGGCCGTATCAGACGTTCGGCATTAAAGGTTGAACTATCCTCACTAATAAACACGCAGCATGGAGCATCCTCGAATGTTGCGACGCTATTGGTGCGCGAGTGGCAATGCTGCAAATCGACCTCGAGAAGGCTTTCCACATGGTGCCTCATGAAATTCTGCTGTGCATCCTAGATTATGTGAATTTAGGAAAAATAATCAAAGAGGGGGTTGCCATGGCGTACCGAGACTGCTCAACGCGGCTGATCGTTAACAAGGTGGTGGGGAAGCGCATCCCAGTCAAGCGTTCGGTCCGTCAGGGTTGTCCTCTCTCACCACTATTGTTTTGTTTGTACATAGAATCCTTTTGTTTGAGTGTCATAGAGAATGACTGTGTCCGTGGTTTTAAGCTGCATGAGGTTGAAGTCCGGCTGTTGGCTTATGCGGACAATATTGCCATTTTTTGCGCGGACTCTGACAGCATAGCAGCTGCTTTCAAATGCGTTACTAACTTCTGCGCTGCAAGTGGCAGCGCTGTAAACTGGGGAAAATGCCTTGGCTTTTTGCACGGTGACTGGGCAGAAACCCCAGACAGTTTTGCCAGCATAAAGTTTGTTACGACACCAGTGAAATACTTGGGTGCCCCCCTCGAATGCTACAAAAACAGCGATTCTTACTGGAGGAGCCAAGTGGACAACCTGCGGGAAAGAGTGAACAAGTGGAATGGCTGGAATTGGTCTATGTTTTCTAAAGCCACAATTTGCAACATATTCTTAGTGAGTAAAATTTGGTATATCTTACAAGTCTTACATTGTTCAAGGGTAAACATCCAAAAATTTCACCGTGTGTTCGCTGTCTTCGTGTAGAAATCGTCTTAGGAAAGATCGAGTCGGACCAATTTATTCCTTCGAGTGCGAAATGGAGGACTGGGCTTGTCGCATTTGTTTTTCAGACGGGTAGTCAATCGATTTTGTTTCTTTAGAGACGTCGACAACCCATTCCTTCGCACTGTCTGTCATCTTCGCCGTGGGCAACACTTGCCTAACATGGTTGTATCAACCTGCAGTGTACCTGGTGGTGTTTATGGCTTTCTCCGCGAAGTTGTACTTTCTTGTAGGTTTCTGTCAGTGCGGTTTTCACTTGAATACTTGGAGTCAAGTCCGACGTAAAACGTTGTACAAGGACCTATGTGATGTGTTTTTACCAGTGCCTTTGTATCGGTCCCTTTACAATGTATGCCATGGCCACACTGTACTAAAGCGCATCAAGGCGATGAAAATACCGCCATGTGCTAAGAATTTATTTTTTAAATTACATACCGGTACGCTGACCGGGAAAACCTGGATGGCTCCAAAAGGGTTTTACGTTCTTTGGGGCACGCATTGCATAATATGCAGAAAGGAGGAGACAATTGAGCATGTATTATTTCTGTATGTATTCCAAAAAAAGACAGGATGCTGTCTTTCTTTGGGACGTGCTTCAGCGCACGATTAAAAAAGACTTCCCCCTTGATGCACATGGCATTCGCTATTTGCAAATACAAAGTGACCGCGGTACCCCATATGATATGATAATGCTTATGGCTCTTCATAACATATGGAAATCCAGGATGGCAGCCATGCACTTTGATGTAGATGCACGAGCGC